AATGTAGCAATGACCAACAGTATACAGAAAATATATTTTTGCAAGCATGACTTTTAACAAAACACTAGTAAAAAAAGAAACTGCAGTCTTGAACAGTTAGACAGAAAACAATCATTATAATGAGAGACTCTTTTAATGAACTCGTCTTTAAAACTGGCATCTGATCAATTACTTTGAAGACTTTCAATAAGTTTTGATGAAAGTGTCCTTAAATTGTTTCTTCTATAATCAGAACTCAACCCCTTCGCCCTTGCTTCTAATATCAGTTGTGTTGGTAAAATTATTATTAGTCAATTTAAAGTAATTGTGGTCAGAAACATCAGTTTTAGGTTTTGTAGTGTCATTCATATGCCTTTGCATTTAAGGTTTCGCAAAAGAGTATGGATTTAGAGCTGTAACTAGTAGTCCACACTTTCCTCAATCGAATGGAGAAGCTGAAAACGCTGTATCTATAGCCAAGAGGATTCTACTAAAGTGTCCGGATCCCAATCTTGGTCTATTAGCTTACAGGACCACCAAATTGGAATCGGGGTTATCACCTGCAGAGCTGCTGTATGGTAGAAAACTAAGAACAACTTTACCTTCTCTCAACGACTTTCAAGTGGTTGGAAAAGATCAAATAGAATCCTTTCGAAACTGTGACAAGAAAATAAGAGACAGAGTCAAGAAAAACTTTGACAACAGAAGAGGCGTCAAAGAACTTCCACCTTTAGCAGTAGGAGAGAGGGTCTGGGTTAAAGATATAAGTGCGAAAGGAACCATAAGAACAACAACCAATCTACCTCGATCCTACATAGTATCATTGAGTAATGGGAATGATGTAAGACGAAACAGATGGCATCTCATTCCCCTACCAAGAAAAGAGAATGATGATTCTGACGATGTCTACCATGGAAGGAGGGTGCAGCCAAACCACAATGATGAAATAAGAAGATCGAGCAGAACTATCAGACCACCAATAAGATATGAGTAAATATAATGAGGAAGGGGAGATGTAGTGTCATTCATATGCCTTTGCATTTAACACATGTTTTATAATTTAGTTTGTTGTTGTGGTGATGATGACTCTTGTTAAATAATAAACACATTCTTTACTTTGCAGCATTTATTAGAATTTTATATTATATTTCAGGTTTTAACTTTTATTAAGAAACAATAGGCATTTGCTATTCTAGAACTGCCCCAACGAGTGACGACTCCAACGTGTCCACTTATATGTGGAACAAGGTTGCGGGAACAAACTAATCAACTAAGTGATCAGTTTTATAGGCAAAGCTACAAAACACCTGAACAATTTTATCCAACTCACATAAACTAAGCTGCATACAGGGACGCTCACTTGCATATTTATAGCCCTAGGGACAACAAGTGTACTATTGTCACAACTAATTTGTAGCGGAGCTCACGACTCCATTTTAATTAGCAACAAAGTTGCCTTTTCACTTGTGCTGGAGCTCGACAGCTCTAGACCCTGATTCAATTAAGCCACACATAATGCGAGATACTCATTGTCCCGAGTGTTACTCGTGGGACGAAATTTAAGCCAAGTTTCACTTTGGATTTTTAGTCTCAGAATGAAATCAGTCAAAATACGAACTACAATTTTAATGTATCGAGGGTTAAATTGTTTTTCTACACACAAGCAATAAGAGATAAATTTTAGGTTACAGTTTAGGATAAAATGAAGTTTAGGTAAAAAAAGTCTTAACACTATTTGACATGTGAAAAAACTATCATCAGCCAAGTTTACGTTGGGTTTACTATACTCTAAATCCATCGTTACCAATTTCAATTATCATTACAACTGTTTTGTACACAGGACTTACAGAATCCTGTTAACCTTTTTAAAATCACTATTACATCTTTATTGGGAAACAATACTCATTTGGTATTCCCATCTTTTAACTTTCAATTTAATTCTATTAATAACTCAACACATAAAAAAGCGTTCAAAAATCTGTTTTACTTCTACGGAAAATAAACCAACCCCCGGGGACAATGATGGTAAATGTGCTGTCGGGTCGTTGATTGGATGTATTCTGTCAACTGATGTGTGAGATTGTTGTTGGGGCTAATCGATCTCTACATAATATATCACCTCATCATTTGAGAGAATATGTTTACACAAAATACTTCAATAATTACATAATGATTGGACCGCAGTTAGCAAAGAGTTATTGCAATTGAAATGTAAAAAAATATCAAATCAAACATTTTAGTTGGCTAGGGTAAATATGATAAATCAACATGATGAACACAGGGTGTCCCGTAAGTACTAATAATTTAGGAATAGGTTTAATAGGTGCCTCGTTAGCGACATATCCACAATTTTGCTTTAGTGTTTTAAATTTATATCGTAAAAATGTTTAAAGATTATCTTCATAGAAATATTTTATAATGATTTTTTTGTCTTTCAAGTTATAATTCTTCAAAACTGTATACCAAATTCCAAAAATATATCTAAAATTGTTTGTAAGATATACATTTAAATACCAAAAATAAATAAATAGTATTTATCTTGCTTACAAAGGTTTTTTTTTTAGGAAAAAGTTTATTCTTGATTATTTTATTTTTATTTCTACTAAACGGCTATTATTTATAACAGTTATTTTTAGTTCTTGTGGTTTATAAATTTAAGTAACAATTAATTCAATGTGAAAGAAATTTTGCATATTTTGCTCACTTTATAATAGTTGGTGGGTAAAAAATTCCTCATTAGTTTAAAGCGATTAGTCAAAAATAAGATTAAAATTTGTACAATGTAATTAAAGCATATTTATAGCCTAATTAATTTTTTACAAACATTGCATACATAATTACGGGATTATGTACACAATGAATTTTTAACTCGAAATCACCTAGCTGAATAAAATATAATAAATTAATCAAGACTCGCTTACCAAGCTGAACAATTTGAACAAATAAAAAGCTTAAACGTTGATGCACGACCTACGAGTGACAGTGACACGCAAGCAGAACCGTAACCTAAAACACAGAACACAGCTGACTACGCTGCGCTTAACCACCTGAGGTTGACGTTTTAAAACCACCGAGTCTGCTGAAATAAGCGATTAATTCAGATATTAGTGTAATCGCCAGAGCTAGAGGCAGTGATAAAGTATTTAACAACTGCGGACAAATTAAAATTACAACTCGAGTGGAAAGGAGTTTGATTGCAATTGTTTGACCGTTTGTTTGCCAACTCATTTATAAATGAGATCAATCTCTACCAGTGACGTTATATCATTCAAAGTTTGTGATATTAATCAACAGATTGGTTAGCGATTTTGCATATCTAAAACAGACAAGGACATTTATTGCATTTGATTTTTATGTACAAGCAGAAATTTATAATAATTATTTCAAATAATATTTTACGAAGGTATGCATTTAATAAAAAATATACCAAAAAAACATTCACATAAAAGATTTCTTTCCGCCAAAGTGACCCGACAAAAAATGTAAAATATTTGACCTAGTTTGAGGATAGTGCAGAGTCTTAACAAAGTAACAGCGGTATTTGTTGACTTTGGCTACTGGGTTCATGGCTATAAATATTTGGCCAACAGGTGCTCTACTCAGACAAGAACCAGACAACAGACACAATCTAACATTATCTACAAGAAGAGAGGAGAGCTTACGAAAACATACTATTAAGCTCAAGAGACAGGCCACTTAGGCGATGGATATAACAGGAGCACTTGTATCCCCAATTTATCACATGTGATGGTAATTTTAGTGAGCAACATTCTTGGCTTACAATAATGAGTCCATTGTCCCTATACTAGTCTGCTGGCAGTCATTAGAATGTAAAGAGAACTATTTACGGCTGATCGTGTCAGATTTATGTTCACCTTTTGCATGTATAATTTGATTTTTCAATTCTAATCCAATTTGTGGAAACGGTTTTAATTTTACTGCAATGAATCCTTGAAATAGGGTTATACATCGTGTTAATGGATATTGTATCACCTAAAATTACTTTGCAACCTAGTTGTGTTCCATTAAACTGAACTATACAGATTGCTTTAATCAACTATTAAAATTCCTTATAAATTCCCCCTTAGAGGAGGAGATATATAGATAGAGGATAGAGGAGGCAGATATATACGGGTATATCTACCACCTAAATTCACATGTATAGATTACTTTAAATGCATATCAAGCCTATAGTTGTTTTTTTTTGGACTTTGGGGATACTAAAACAAACAAGTAAAATATTACGTACCTAGATATTTTGGCAGGCCGATCTAACAACTGCAATTATAGCTATTTCAATAAAGGAATGTATATTTTCTTATTTACATATTTTTCATGGGCGTTAAAACTGAACTGAAGTGTAATAATTTAACTCTAGAAGACACGGAAAATTAAATATCTTGTGTCAATTTATATGCATGTAATAATTATTATGAGTTATTTAACCGACAAACAAAAATATATAAAAATTAAACAGAGTAATACTAATACCTCAACAGTTGTATGTGGTAAAGAAAAACAAATTTAAATTACACTTTTTCTCAATGATGAAAAAACAAAACAACAAAATTAACCATCACGGATACAACATTATTCACCAGCACGCACCCCGAGGTCTTACTAAATTAAAATCCCCGGTTTATGATTTTACACCAAATCCTTCGTTACATTTACAAACCTTTAATCACAAAAAGTGTTTTAATCAGAAAATGGATTTATGTTGAAAGATTTGTAAAACATGTTGAGACCAAAGTTGATAGATAATATTCTCATACAGGCATACTATACTGCTAGTTTATTATTTGTATTTTTTTATGAATTAACTATAATTTTCAAATAAAAAAGGTATAAGCCTAGTGAACAAAAAAAAAAAGCACCCTAACAAGAAATATAACTATTTTTTCTAAGTGTGCAACAAGTGAATTTCTTGAGAAACTCCTTCTTTAGAAGATTTAAGTATACAAACTAACTTAACTATGATGTTAAAAGTAAGTATTTTAACTACAAATATAAGTATTTACCAGGAGTAGGTGTGGTGTAGTCCCAGCTTTCTGAATCATTCTTGTGAACATTCAATTTTGTGGGCTGAAACAAAAATTACAATAAGATTACGGTACAGGAATTAAATGATATTTATAAGCTAATACTCCAATCTCATGGTTAGAAAGCTAATATCATAGGTCAATTTTATGGGCTGAAACAAAAATTACAATAAGATTACGGTACAGGAATTAAATGATATTTATAAGCTAATACCCCAATCTCATGGTTAGAAAGCTAATATCATAGGTCTCATGGTAAGACCTGGACCTGGGACCAATTTGCCTTTTTGCTTTGGTCTTAATCATAATGTATGTGTGTGTGTCCGTTAGCACGATAACTCGATTAAAATGATCAGATTTTGATTAAGTTTGGTACAAACGTGTAAACAAACATTCTCTAAATATTATTTAACTTCTTCCATACCCTGAGACAAATAAATTTGATAAAACTACCGACCAAACTACACTTCAAATTATTCATAAAACTACTAGCAATGTGAGAATCCAGATTAGTTCAGAATGGAACATATCGGGTTCGAAATAGCAATGAATGAACGTGCAAAATAAATAGCGTTTGGCTCGATTAAAGATGCTTGTTAAAGATGAAACGTTAAGCAAGGCAAGGAAACGCCTGGCATCAGAAGATCATTAGTGTAACGAACAGTCAGACCGCTACAGCCCAACATGAATACCAGTTAATGCGGCTTGCAGGTACACAGAAGTTCTTTTGTTTAGCATTGTACACTTGATAAGAGGAAACATTACTGCTACAAAAGATTATTGAATTATTTAATTTAATACACATTTTATCTAATTAATGTTACCTACTTTATATTTATTGTTTTTATGGCATTACTTCACATTGGGGGAGCGAGCTGGCGTAGTGGCTAGAGCGCGGGACTTCGGTCCGTGAGGTCCCGGGTTCGATCCCCGCCAAGTCACCAATGGATTTTATCTAAGTGATAATGCCGCAACCCCTAGGTCTAGCCTGAAGTAATGTGAAAAACAATCCCAAGCTCGTGCCTAGCGTCCTAGGACAAAAAAAAAAAAAAAAAAAAAAAATGGCATTACTTCACACACTAGAGGCACTAGGCTCTGGTCTGGAACGGTTATTTAGATGTTTTAGGCTAGGTCTGGAGGTTCGCGTCGCGCGTCTTTATCACAGACTATCATTGGTGATTGGCAGGGTTCGAGCCCCGGATTTTAGAAGCCGAAGCCACGTGCTCTACCACTACATGTGCTCGCTCCCCAATACATTATAGTAGAGTTTTAATTAAATACAGTAATCTTGGCGTACCAGTAATTCTCAAATATTTAACCACCCGAAAGTGCTGTCTTGACTCGCCAGCAAAAATCTGTTACTTTTTAAATATCATACATTCACTCTATCTTCTAAGTAGAGTGTTTGGAATGTACAAAACTGGATGTAAATACTGTAAATCTTGCCTAGCAGTTAACATGTTCACTGTTTATTTGCGTTTACAACTATTCCTGTTAAATACGACAGCTTCTGTAGTCCGATTACACATTACATTTAACAAAATCAAAACTACATGCATTCCGTTCAGTCTGGTTTGTAACTGATCGGCAAGCCATCGTTGGTCTGTTGCACAATATTCACACCAAGTTTGTTTGTAGCCTCTACCTTCGCTTCTGGTTTACACAGGTATTAGTGGCTCAGTTTTATAGCTTCGGCCCAAATCCTTCGTCTTGTTTCACCAGGCTTTCGATAAATAAACATGTTGTGGGTGGGTGTGTTTTATGTTGCAAGAGTATCAATGTTTTTATTCTGAAAAAGTCATCATTTTCAAAAAGAGTACTGTTAGAAGCAGAGTATATAGACATATTGTCTTCAAATGTAAAGTTTATTAGTTAACTCATGAGAAGGACCAATTTCGGAACCAATGCTTGCTAAAAAACAGTTCAATATTAGCACAAGAGCAGGGTTTGGACATGGTAACATATTGATTTTTGAAAAAACAAACAAAACACATTGCTAAGATTTAGGGGTACAAGAAATATTTTAAGCCAATAATCCACCATTTAATAAGAGTGAGAATTACAAATTAGTCTACCCAGTTGAAGACCAAAAACAATCTATACTTAGCTCAAAAATTATATAGATGGTTCCCAATTTTTCTGGTATGGTTTGGTGTGTATGGCTGTCGAAATTAGGATAGGTGTAGCCAACAGTGTCATAAAAATATTGTATCTTTAATTTATTGATTAGGAAAGAATGTAACAATAATTGCAAAACCCTATACTAATATGTATTGGATAATAATCTAAAACAATAATTAGTTTATTTTTAGCTGTACATTTTCTTTTTAAATCTTCTTAAGTCAACAAACTAAGTCAGTAATTAAGGCTGGTCAAACAGATTGGTTAATCTTTAATCAATTTTCTATTGCATCCTCCATAAGCAATACACATACTACTTAAACTGACACTACGGATCTGTTTACAACCAAGTTTAAAACTCAAGTTTTACCAGCACTTTAAATAACTCTTTCCACATGGTTAAAAATTATTGCTGACTTGTGCTCTAACCCAAAACTTTAGTGTTTGCGTGAATCCAGCTCAGGGTAGGGGGAAACAATGCTTCAAGTGTGATTATACCATAACGGATAAACTGGGGCATTCATTAAAACAACTTCTGACATTTATTGCATTCGTTTATCATCTAAAATTACACAAACAATTAATAATTTCTAAAAGTTAGCACGGAAAACTTTAATACACGAACAATTTGTTGATTAATTAGTTAGTAGGAGTTATAGTTGAGATTAATATAAAACTTTAAAATTTTTTTTATAAAGAATGAGGGAAGTATTGGAATTTCTTTACAGTTTTACAAATATAGCCTACTTCAAAACTCTTTGTAAGGGTAAATGTGAAGCTAACTGAATTTGCTAACAGTTTTACTCTACCATACCAAAACATTAAATTTTGTTTGAAAGGGTGAGATTTCGTAAATTCATTACAATTAATTCATTTAATAAAAAAATTAACAAGTTTTTATTGCTTAAGAGACTATAATTTAGATAGGTAGGGTAGCAATAATTTTTGTAGATAGGCGAATAGTTGGAGTATAGTAATACAGTAGTTGAAGGTGGTTTGCGAGTCACTGGGTCATAAAGTTATCTCATACATAAGGAAACACTTTGGCATTAGCGGGATTAGAACCTGAGACTCCAGCACATTAACCACTAAACCAGCAACCACTTGGATGTATAAGTAACCAATCAAAAACATTTCACTGACATCTTAAATGTTTTAAGGTATGAAAACCTCTGGAGAATATACAGGGGAAAAACAAAGTCGGCAATAACAGTTATGAAACATCTTCAATGCAACTCTAAACGAGGTTAATAGCATGAATCATGAATGCTCTAAAGGTTGAGAACATCAAAGGGGTGTAAATATACACACCAATGAGAGGGCATTGAATAGCAGTGTATGACCACACAGGGTATTTGTGGCTGCTGAGGTAAACTTTGGACTGTTTGTAGCAGTTAAACTGCCATTTAATTGTTCTAATACTACTCATCGTCTGATGGTCTATGTCTGCATGTTGTATGTTGAATATCAAATGAAATAGCAAGAAAGTCACAACCTAACCCTAATATGTATACAACTGAGAAAACTTTAACAACACTCTAAAGCAATTTAGATCTTTTCACAATTTTTAACCATCAGTTCCACTATTACGTTTCATTACCAAAAGGTAATTGTAAACATCTGAATTTGTCAAGCTAATTTCTCATTGTAACTGTGTGTAGACCTACAAAATAACATTACTTAAAGCCAAATTTTACTACATTTCATTGAGGCGGGTGGGCATTAATTGTGCCAACTGACCTGAGTCAGGTAGTCAGGTATTCTTGAATTGCGCCAACTACTTCAGGGAGCCACCCGATATATTCATTAACTGTGCCAATAGTCTACCCTCTTTGACTGTATAATTGAGTAGGTTAGGTTAGGTTAGGCTAAATGCTAAGTTAGGTTACGTAAGGTTATGCTTGGATAGGTTAGGATTACACGAAATTTGGAGGACATTCCTTCTGCCGGCAACTCACCCCTACCTGGCTTGGGCTTGGCGCAAATATAAGGAACATATTTTGGGACCCTTGGAGGGATTGGCGCAATTAAGGAAATCTTTGGCACAATAATTAATGCACGACCATTAAGGCATTCACCAAAACATAAATTGAAATCATTCAAATAAACCAAAGTGATACCTTTTACACACACATCGTTTTCAATATGAATATATTACTTCATATAACATAGTATTCATAAAGACGGTGTAAACCTCCATAAAACGAAGCAAAAGAAGGGCTTTGATGACGCAGGGTGTAAACTGTAGAGTTTAATAGTCAAATAGACGTCAAGCTCATACTAGGTAAAGTAGATGGGGTATTCGGGAAACAATTTTTTCAAACCTGAAGAACTATCTTACCAATGATAATAACATTTCCATCACATTTAAAGTCACCCAAAATATTTATTTAACTTTTGTACGATTATTAGAACTTTTTGAATGTTCTTGCATAATCTAATTAATATGCAAATACATTCCAAAAGTTGTAATAATCGTACAAAAATTAAATCAATATTTTTATTTTGTTTTATTTATGGAAAATAATAAAAAATTTACTGGAAAGATACTTAATTCCTTGTTCTAAAAACTAACCTAAATGCACATTTAATATAGCTTGAGTCTATAAATTAAAGACTAACAGCAATAATGCCACGACTCCCGGGACTAGGTAATACATTGTGTTATTAGCAGATTAACGCTCGGGGAACAGTACTGATTATTACATGCAGGACTAAGTGAGCTAATTCACTTATGTGCCCAGGAGGCGTACAAGATTAATGGCTAAATTTAACATCCATCCGCTAAAGTAAGTGATAAAATAATGCACAACCAGTGTAGAGGTAACACGTTTACACACATGTGTACATGGTACATATTACTTACAATGTCGTTGAAAGGGCTGTCTGCCGGGTATACTTTCGTGAACATACATAATTAGT